AGAAATGAACATTCAATTCACGGGCAACAGCTCTGGTGGACATTCCTGCAGTCAGCATGCCAATTGCACACTCCTTCAAAACTTGCAACATCTGTGGCATTGTGCATTGTGTAACGCGAAAGTAACGCAAAAGTAATATAACACATTACTTTCCATAAAAAGTAACTAAGTAACGTAATTAGTTACTTTTTTAGGGAGTAAAGCAATATTGTAATGCATTACTTTTAAAAGTAACTTTCTCCAACACTGAACAGGATTGCAAAACATTAGATGCAGGATTGTTTAAACCATACAAGTTATAATGAAATAAAAAAAGTGAACACATAAGCAATATGTGTATCGCCCTTTATTATATTATATGTTTATAAAAAATTATGAAGGTTGTGTTTGTCAGTTACTAATTATGGTACCACTGGTGGCATGGGAAATGTCTCTGTATGTATACTATGTAAGAAATTAACTAATTTGTAAGGGAATTAATTATTATTATTTCATTCAGGTTTTGAGAGGACTCGGATCTGAAGATTCGAAGTCAACCTGATTAGAACTAATTCCAAATTTGATAATTTACACCTTATCTAGAGTTCGTCCAGCGAGACGTTAGCATCCGTGTATATTAACAATTTTAATATCTGTATTCTCCCTGGCCACGGGTTAATACATGTTTTGATAAGTTATAAGCTACGAGCTAGGTAACAAGGATCTTTGGCAAGGTTTGACTTTGAAATTATATGACACCAGACAATGATTCTTTATAAATGAAAACAAAATTTATTGGCTATTCTAAATTACATTGACCTAAGCTAAGACATACACATACACACACACATACATACAGTCCCTGAAGAATGAAAATGATGTTAACGGAGTTCTGAGGAAAGCCCAAAGTTTTAGCAAGATATTCGCTACAGTTCTCTTACTTGTGACTTGAGAAAATCACAAAGCAGAGGTTTGTCTTATGTTTACTGCTTAAATTAGCTCGGCACCAGTTCAGCAGAGATGAGATTTTGTTCGTTTACTTGCGTTCTGCTTGGTTGACAGCTGAAAAGCTGAGATGATGTCCCGTTACTGACGAAGGCTTCCTGGATGGCTGCTGAGGGAACCCCGGAGCTTTCGGATTGGTCGCTGAG